GAAATGCACAGAAAACAAATGGAGCAGATTGGAAATGCACAGAGAACAAAGGGGCCAGGTCGGAAATGCAAAGAGAACAAAGGAAAAGGCAAGGGAAGCATGCAAGACCATCAGAAATGGGGGAAAAACCCCAAAGCCCCATCGGAAATGGGGGGAAAGCCAAAAAACCCCCAAGACCTATCGGAAATGGGGGAAAAAAACAAAATGCAACCAAACCCCCCAAGACCCATCAGAAATGGGGGGGAACTAAAAAAGAAACAAACTCCCAAGACCCATTGGAAATGGGGAAAAACCAAAAAACAAACAAACCCCCCAGGACCCATCACAGCTCAGAAACATAACCCCCCAGCCCAAAACCATGCTGCAACAACACCCAGAACAGTTTTTAAAAAACATAACACAGCAGCTTATCTTACCAGGCAGCCTTCTCCGATCGCACACTCTCTTAACTGCTAGGGTGAAAGAGCTACAAAGAAGCAGCCTCGTTGCCATCTACAGTTAGAAATTTGAATTTCCCACCTTTTTTTCCTGCCTTTTTCTGTTCTTAAGTGGAAGCTCCGGTCGCAAGTAGAAGCAAAATTTTGTGGCTGGAGCTGGTCATAACTTGAAATGGTCATAAGTAGGGTGAGAATAAGTCAAGGCACCACTGTATATGGTGACAATAGAATATTGTACAACTACTGCTACTGAAAATGTGCATCTGAGACAACAGGGTGGTAGACGGTTACTCATAAGGCCAATCGAACACTCAGTTTTCAGTAATTTTGTCCCTAAGGCAGGGATTGAGAATGGGCAGCACACCAAATGTTGTAGGACTACCACTCCCATAAGCTCTTACTACGCTAGCGAGAGTTGATTGGCGTGGCAGTCCAGCATATTGCAAGAGCCACCGTTGCTGATCCCTACACAAGGATAAGGCGGGGCTCTAGCCCTGGTTCTATTTTAGGGTACTCCAATAAGGAATTATAAGACTCACTTTCCTTTGAACTGTGATGCCATCCCCATGTATCTTTGGCCTTCAGTGGCAAAAGGCCTGACCTCAACTGTGACACCCTGAGAAAACAGTCTTCTGAAGTGTCCTGAGGATATAGCACAGGACTATATGTGCATGGTATTTTATATGGGGGATAAATCTGTCAGTGGCTAGATGCTGTGGTGAATATGTATTCTCTCCAGTATCAAAAGCTGTTTGGCTCTCAGTATTGGTTGCTGTCCATGGGGTCACGAAGAGTCGGACACGACTAAACGACTAAACACACACACAAGGGACATCAAGAGGAGGTTGCTCTGTCCTGTCTGTGGACTTTCCAGAGGCATGTGGCTGGTCACCTAGAGAGGCCTGGGGTTTAAGGCAGCAGGATACAGTTGTGCTCAATCTAAGATAAGTGCATTGTTGTTCTAAGAAAATTATAGACTAGCACTCTTCCATCTGGATTGACTGCTTCTCTCAGTTACAGAGCTACAGAAGGGAGAGGCCACCAAGCCTGCCCCAAGACATTTTAAGAGATATACTCAGCACATCATGTCTCCTCACCTCAGTGGAAGTGTCACCCTACATATGATCTGATAGTTCCTTCAGTGGTTATGGTGCATATTTCAAGTGCCATTTGCCAGAAGTGATCCATTGCAGAATGCCTTCATTTCACTACCGCTCTGTCAGGGACTCTCAAAAGTATGGTGAGGGGAAAAGGAATACTGTACAAGAAAAAGGCAATTGCTGCAAGTGTTTCACAATCTGGACTGGTCCTCTGAAATAAACGCAATGGCCTTCAGGCCCTGAGGAAGGAAGAGAGAAGGAAGGAGACCTTCCTGAGTTCTCAAAGTGGGAGGGAAAAGGAATGGGATGATTTTATTTAAAATTGAGCCAAACCTTCTAGACTTCATTGAAAATATGGTTTTATATCTGTCTGAAAAGAAGTAGGATAGCATCCCACCAAGTCTGAGCACTGGCGTTCTTGATTTTAGCTTTAAACCTGTGGGAGGGACATAGGAGCAAGTGTAGCTCTTGCAAGATTTAGGGGCAGGCATCTGTGGTCCTCAAACCTCTGGAGGTTGACAGCCCTCATATAAACCAATGGCTCTGAGGTCCTTCTCTTAGTGTAGGAAGTCACTCTACAGTAGGCCCACTAAATCAGTAGGGATTTGGTGATTCAGCTTCTCTTAAGTTCTACTGAGTTAAATAGGCCTACTGTAGTTGCGACTTGCTATGATAAATCACAACTAGAATACAGTAGGCCCATTTGAGTCAAGGGAAATTATAGACAAGTGGATTCAGCGATCCCCACCGATTCATTAGGCCAACTCTAGTGTAATCTTCTACACTAAGGAACAGGATTTCAGCCAATGAGTGTGTGAGACTTCAATGTGTGGGGGGGGTCAACTCTGGCTCGTTAGAAGGAATGCTTTAGACGTGGATTGCTTTTCTACAAAGGAACATTTATTGTGATCTTAACAAATAAACCAGTGTCTTTAATTGTATCTGAGTACTTTTCTCCTTCAGCCAACGTAGCCAACAGGGATTTCCAGTCGTCCATAACAACGGGTTATTATAACTAGTGTTCCAGGGTCCTGGGAGATCAGCAGACATCCAGTGCTTCAAAGTGGGGGGCGGCGAACCCGGCAACAGGGACACAGTGTCATCTCTGGGAATTTTGTCC